ATTTAACGTCTCAATCCATTAATCGTTTGAGTGCCGGAGATCGCAAAAAAGCACACAAAAAGTGCCAGCAAGAGGCGATGCACTCACTGGTGATGCACTTGTTACTATCAATTGCAACTGTCAGAACTTGCGCAGCCATTTGAGTAAATAGATGCTTTTTTCCGTTTTTGAAAAAAATAAATAACTATAAACACACACCATATATAACACATATTAAGTTCCATTTCTGTTTATTGATGTTTTTTTGCTGGCGTAAAACAGAAAAAGCGTTTAATTATTATAATCGTATTTCTTGGCACTCAAACAATCAAAGAACTCACATCGGAAAACGCGTATACGTGTATGTATTTCTCCTGTTCACTTTTTCTTTCCGAGTTTGGCGTATAAAATATATGCGTTGCGTAACCGGTTACTTTCGTTATTACGGATTATCTTAAAACACAGTAAAACTTGAGCACGTATGTAAATCCGAACTCGAATTCAAGATAAAAAATAACGTAGTTATGTGCTTGTGTGAGATCTTTGAATTTAACGTCAAGTTGAACGGATCAGAAACAACAGCGCAACTCCACTTACGAATTTGTAAAAGTTACAAAAACTCGAGCAACCCTTTGTGCTCAAAATTAAATTTTTATGCGTTATAAATTATACATTTCATACGAACTGCGCGCTTCGTGATTTAACATTAAAAATTAGATATTTAAGTTTTTTCAGATGTTGCTTGCAACACAAAACATAGATTTTAAATATCAGTTAAAATTGGTTAGAAGCAAAAAACTTTAGTGCAATTTAGTTGCACTTGAGAACAAAAATATCGCGGTTGCTTGACGAATGTGTTACAAACAAATGAAGATAATTTTGGCTAAAAATTTTTATTCAACATAACATTTCATGTTATGTTACACACGTGAGAGTGAAATAATATATTGAAAATATTGATAAAATAAATATCAGTTTCTAATTCTCTCTAGCAAATCTCCAATGAGTATTCTAAAAAAAAGTGTAATAGTAGAAAGTGGTATAATTATAGCATAAGATTTGAGACCAGTTTTTTTAAAGTAGTGTATGTGTGTGTGTTCATTCATCTTTATGATAATAAAAAAGCACTAATATATTATTCATGAAATAGATGAGAGTCCATATTCCGGACATTGTCATTTATTCGATCGATAAAAATATCCTATCTCTGATAACGAGTAAAACATGTAAACGTGAATAGATGTTCGTAGTAAAAATGAATTAGCATTATTTTGGTTGATTGATGCAATTGATAAATCGTTCACAAAAAAAAAACATTTCTATACAAATATGATAAATTTAAATAAAAAATGTCTGAAAATTTTTCTATTTCTATTTTTTTTGTGATTCTTTTTATATATATAAAATGAAAGATATATTGCGAGAAAAATCTTGAAATGAAAGTTTCAAAGTTTCAAAGAACTTGCACTGTTTTACTGCAACACGTTCTTAATGTCAATGTTTCAAATTGAGCGATATTAAAGCACGATAATGTTCTATGTTTTTAAAATAGTTACAAGTTATTCATAAGTTTTAGACATAACGTGACGTTTTAAAATAAATCTCACAAGTTACACTTTTTACAGTTTTGTGTTTTTTAGAATTATACTGTTTTTCTTCTAAATTCGCATAAAAAAAAAAAAAAAAAAAAAAAAAAAAAAATTCAAATATTTCGCTAACGGAATATTTGTCTTTGTAAATCTCGTTATTTTGGATGAAGTCTCTATTAACGTAAGATATTTAATGTTTTTTTTGTCTTTTCCATTACGAAGGTATACAGAGATCGATGTTTCGTGAG